ATTATCACAAAATAGCAATCGAATTCTTAATATTGTTTGGTTGAAACTAGCTGATGAGCTCAAACTTATTAGTTCAATAAGTTGGAGTATAAACTATCTATCCGGATATACATAAACTAATACTATATCTATCTGGATATACATAAATGATTGATAAGAATTTGGCCCATCCAATAATTACAAGCAAACAAAGATTTTTCGGTCAGAAACTTTGATTAATCAGAAAACCAACCAATGGGTTGTCTAAACCACATGCAATTAGTCTGATCTACACAGCTAATTATAATCCATAATTTTTATATTAATCGAGATTCCTGATCCAAATCACAAGCAACTAAACTTATTTAAATATGCAATTGTCATTTTTTAGGATCTATAAATCCTAACTAATCCCTGTAAGAATTATTGAAAATTGTTTTTTTTTTTTTTTTAATATTGGGTCATTAGGTAAGCGACGTTGTGATGGAACTTAATGAAACACAAAAGGCATCATAAAATTAATTTCTTTATTACTACTTTTCCCTTTGATTGCCGTCATAATAGCCTCCATTTTAAAGAATACACTAGTTATGTTGATTCCTCTTACTGAATCTTTTTCTAAATTTTTGTTGTTGCTTAAGGCCCATTTATCAATAGTTTTAATAGCCCTTATATTGTACGCAAAAACAACACGGAAAAGTTCTCTTGTCCTTGTGACAATGAATAAAGGCAGGTCGAAGGTTAGCGAGAGCTTCATTTCCCAATAGAAATAAAACAAAGTACATTTGATGCTTACAATTTCAAGAGAATTAGTAATTGTTATTGATTGTATTCATCATGTAAATACGAAGAGGAAAAAAAAAAGAAAAAGAAAAAAAAGAAGCTCGTTTACAATGAAACCGTGGATTTTGTCCATTTTGAAATTGGGGACAAATACATAAACACTAAGAAACAATGAGATTTGGCTAAACTCATGGAGATTGTTTAGAGCAAAACATGTGCCCAAAGAATATCATAGCAAATTAATCACTAAGAACAAGACCAATTTAACACTACTAGTCTCACAAGAATAAGATTTTGTAGCAATGTACATTTCAATAAATATGATTTTTATTCTGGGCAAAAAAATAACTGTTATTTACTAGAGTAATGAAAAATGTACCTTCAAACTATGAAACAAAAATTGTTACTTATGACTACTGAAGTAATTCTGTTACAAACAATTGCTTATTTTAGCCGCAGTAAAGTAGCCAATTCATTTACAATTTTGCTGATGGTATAGCACCATTTTGCTTTAGCAAGACTTCAACTAAATCAAATCAACCAGAAACTTAGCATAATAAAATAGTGTGCAAGTGGGGGATGAAAGTTTCGATTATTTTCAAGTCAATCATTGATTGGATTATGAACTTGAATAACTGCCAAATTGTGCCATTTTGATTAGGTTTACTTATTAAAACAGTGTGTCCCAAGATTTCCAACGTTAAGCTAGCATCTTAGATGAGTAGATTAGGCTGCAGTAGGTAGGTGTTGCATTAGATTATTCCTTAATTTATGATTGAATTAATTAAGGTTAATTTCTTCAAACAGGTCATCTTCAGTGTACGTAACCCAGAGATCGATCGGATCAGACTTTGGTTTTATTTCGTCAAGTTGTTGAGAAATGAAGTGAGAAAAAAGTTGTTGGGTGAAAAATATTCTAATAATTTGTTCGCAATCAAAGGAATATCTTTGTGAGCATATACTTTTAATTCAATTATTATTGTACGGTTCTAAAATAAGAATCATGTTTGTTCAACTAAAACAGTAATTCATTTCTCGTTTTAATAGTCCAGTTTGTTAATTTAACAACGTAAATCGTTATTATTATGGCACACACAAAAAAAAAGAACAAAATATGGTGCTTATTTTGGAAAAGTTGGATTGTTATCTCTGCAAAAATTTTGAAAGAAACAACGAAAAATTAAGAATATGTATGAGAAAATGACACGGTTTGTGGGTGAACCAATCATTGCTTTCTTGTATAGTAGTTTAACCAAGATTTGGTTGGCTACAAAGAATAAAAAGTCATCCACCACGAGCAATTTGGATGAGAAAGACGGCGATTAATTAACGAAGTATAATAAGTAATTAATCCGTCCATATAGCTAGTGATATCGGGTATAAATTGCTTGTAATATCGTTACATGATGTTGAGTGCATTCAAAGTCTTCAATCGACCAAAGACTTATTGTATAACTATCAACAAATGGACAAAGTGAAAAGGGAATGATAGATCAATCATTCAATAAGTTTTAAGGGGGAAAAAAAAAAGAAAAAGAAAAAGTTTAGTTTGTTGATGCTTTTGGAAAAAGAAAATACGAAAAAAAAAGTGAAAAAAGAAAATAAAATGAGATAATGAGTAACTTGGTTAACATTTGTGCGGGATGATCCGAGGATTTGTTTTTGTGATTTCATTCATGGCTCGATTTGATTTTTTTTTGTTTTTTTTTGAAAAATTCAATTGCACTCATAGATTAGCAATATTACGTGATTTATTAATTAATATACAGGAGAACTATATTTTAACTACCTCTCTTATTGTTTAATATTTTTTTTTTTAAAAAAAAACGAACAAACAAAACACAAAAAACTAGCTTTTTTATCGTTGGACGAAAATAAACGGTACGTATAGCTCAGTCAAGAGTTTGCTTGCTTTGTGGACATTGAATATATTTCTTTGCTGAAGCATCTGAGTTTATGACATAAATATATACGCTACAACGTACGTGTGACTTAGGCTAAGAATCATTGAATCAACACATTTTTCTTTTGTTTTAAACATATATACAACAATTCTTTATCATAGTACAACTCATTTTATTCGAATTTTTTTTTTTTTTTTATTTGAAGGGGCATCCAATCTTTGGCCGAAATATATTTATAGAAACGAAAAGACACAAGGAAACTTCGATTTCCATCATGCAGTGGATTTTGGCCAATTTCTTCCTTGCTCTCCATCTGTTTTTGGTTGTATATATAATTAAATTGGGTAGTTTTTTTTTTAATTATTATTATAAGAACAAACAAATGCTTAGTACATAAAAATTTAACTTCATCAAGAAAATTCTTGATCTCATAACTGATACAAGCCTGAGGGCCTTGTCGCCATTAGAGATATTAATCACTCTGTCTCAAAATGACCGTCTTGTTTAAATTTTGTACTGAAAGTGAAATCTCAAATTACACAATATTTTCGGGACAGATGAATACTAGATTAGACCATTTAGAATAGAATTTGTCTCACGTTAAATATAATTTGTTGTGAGCACACCGTCCAATTACTTCGGGGTGGCATTTCAACGAGTTGCATGTGGGGATTTTCCTCATCAGAGAAACACAATTCTTTGAGACAAGGGTTTCGATCGAATTGACGTTTAATTTGCAACACTTAAATTCTGATATACACACCGAAGAACTAACATAGCAAATGTCAAATGAAAACTGAACAACGACATCATCCTGAGTAGCACGGTAGAAATTAAGAAGCAGGACTGTGACGATTGTGAAACACGAAATCTCTTCAAGGGATTTTCTTCTTGTGTTTCAGTGCAAATTAAACGTGGGATCTTTTTTTATTGTAAATCATTGCCTAATTAACCTCATGAAAAATGCAACGCCATCACCGACAAACAAATTGTTGATTGTTGGGCTGATAATGGCATGCATGGTTGTATTGTTTGCTTTTCTATCATATATGTTTGCCCTATCAGTCTTTGAAGTTTCAACCATAGCCAAAAATAAATAAATAAACAAAATTAAAACAATTAAACTTCCTAAGAGAATGATCTAAAATTTGTAGCAGGTTACTTTACATCTTTAGGGGGATACAACTAGGGATCTTCAAATGTGGTAATAATATGGTTGAAGAGTATGATGATATCGAGATATATAACTTATCTTGAATCGCGTTAATAATTTAGAAATTTATGTTATATTTCTGTCTTTACGTCATTCAAGCTCGCACAAACGTCACTAAGTTCGATAATCCTTTTATAACGAACAATTTTCAGCTTTTAGCCAAGTACAAAAGAAAAACAAACAGCCAAATTGTACTATGCACTTAACATTTGTTGGGAATTTATCTGGAGGAGAAAACCCGACATGGAGCCCAATAAGTAAGATAAGACCCATCTGAACTCAGAAACTCAAGCTAATGGGTTCTGAGACCACCTTACTTATTAACTGATTCACATGTCCTCATACCTCCGATGTGGGATTCATAATCCTTGCCACATGACCCTCAACAACATTAAACATATGTAACAGTAGTTTAAATATTTTGTGATAACAAATTTACTCAACTCCGAACATAGATTAGTTGCGCAAGTAACACCCATGTTTGTAATATACCAAGGCCAATCAAATGTGGGCGTGGGGGGAGAATTGAAAGATCAAGAACCGAACTTCCTCCATGTGCAGGTCTGTCGATAGGCCCATAATATGGCTACAGACATGCTGCTTTTGTGGCCCAGGATATTCAGAGGCGGTTTCCAAAGCTGAAGGACATATGATCATTGAATCCAAAAACCCACACGTGAAAAAGAACAACTTTTAAGTGTTATCTGACATTTTCTTTCTGGCTTGAAAATTTAAGTTAGGGAAGGCAAAAAAGTTTGATTTGGTACTGATTCCTGAGGAGGTCTTGGCATTTGCTACAAGAAATGGAACGTAATTTTAAGCGGGCACCGGCGAATAAGTTATTTTCTGATTAAACTCTCCTCATGAAGTATTCATTCAACAAGAAACATAAATTAATAGAGCCAAAAATTTATGCCCTGCCTTAATTGTTGTTACCACAAACATAAATGATGAGGTTCAATCACACAATTTCATGGAAGACCAAGAAATTAAGCCAGTAAAGGAGGCTGCACAAAATGGATTGAATACAGGCATCCAGTACCAAGGAATTGAAGATAATACTTCGAAACAATAATAATAATGATGAATAAAAGCTGCCATATTTGTTGATGCATTTTGTTTCACTCCTTGCCATCAGCAGCACGAAGAGATCCAAGTTGAACTGGAGCTTGGGTTCCCACAACCTTGGATGAACCATAAGCCGACACATCGGCGCCTTGACCTTTCTCTTTTTCAATCTGTTCTTTGATCCAGAAATATGTAATTCTCAGACCATCCTGCATGGATAAAATGCAGAAAAGTGCACCATACGGATAGGAACAGTGAGTCATCTTGTTGGATAAAATGAATTAGAGGCATATAAACTTAAATATCCTTTGCAGTTTTTTTGGTACCTTCAATCTCATGGTAGGGGCCCAACCAAGCTTTTCCTTTATGAGAGTGTTATCTGAGTTTCTACCACGAACGCCTTCCGGCCCTGGAATGTGATGGATAGGGAGCTTCTTATCCTCAAGGCTCAGGACCATCTCAGCCATCTCATTCATGCTTACCATTTCATCACTTCCAATATTCACTGGCTCTCTAAAGTCTGATTTTGTCAATCTATAACATAGATAATGGCTCAAGTCATTGGACTGATCAATATTTATTCTGTTAAAAAGTTTGAACATCAAGGTGCATAAAAGCAGCAAACTTGTCATTGCAGGCAAATATCACTTGTCCTCGGTGACTTTAGTACTACAGAAAGGGTGCTATAAATAAATGAGAAAATCCAATACAGCAGGACTTTAGAGATGATATATGCTCGTAATCCTATTATATCATAATCACCAAAACTTGAAGAAATTGAAGGGGTTAGTATACCTCAGGACACCTTCAACACATTCATCAATGAAGGTAAAGGATCGAGTTTGTAGACCATCTCCCCACATCTCGAATTTGTCAGTTGAGGTAAGTGCTTTACGACAAAAGGCAGCGGGTGCTTTTTCCCTCCCACCTGTAGACATTAATCTTGGAGTTTATGGATAACTGCTAACGTGTATCTAATAAATAATTACCAAAGAGTGAGATAACCTGCAACATACCTTTCCAGGTTCCAAAAGGACCATAAATGTTATGGAACCTGCCAATCCGACACTCAATACCAAAGTCCTTGTTGTAGTGCTTACAGAGTTCTTCTGTTGCCAATTTCTCCAAGCCATAAGCATCTTGGGGCTGAGAACATTGAATTAAGAATTAATAACATTCCAAAATGTGCCAAAACAAGCAAAGGTTGTGTATCAGATCAGATTATCTAGTGACAAGGGTGTAACCTCAGCTGGCCAAGCATCTGACTCTTTGAGGCTCACATTAGTATCTAACTGCTTGAATTCAGGATAGATACAAGCACTGGAGGCATAAAAGAACCTGCGATTCACATTGATAAAAGTGAATACAAAGTAAAAGACTTGAGATTTTTTCATGTCCAGCCTGTCAAACTAAAAGATTGCAGATATGACGTAATCTCTTAGGAGAAGGCAAACAAGGAAACAACTTCTGAGTCACCCCACCCTGATACACACACTGATTTAGTAATATTTCCTTCATAAAAAAAGCAAATTGACAAAGATTGATATTGTCCATAAAGATCATAATTAGTTCTGAAACTAAAAGATTGGTCAGACAGGTTGGATTGTCAATGTTTTTGTAGAGGGTAAAACAGCAGCAGATCCTACTGATATTACTTGTAGAATGCATAATGAAAACAATGAAAACAGGTTAAGGTGGCTGACCTCTTAACTCCATTGATCCTAGCAGCCTCAATCATATTAAAACTGATCATTGTGTTGTTATACATGATCACTGAGTGGTTGGATTGTATGAAGCCCATACCTCCCATATCAGCAGCAAGATTGAATACATGATCAACTCCCTTAGTGACTTTCAGACAGTTATCCATGACCCTAAGATCAACAAGATGAAACTCATGACAGAACATCTCTTCAGTCATGTGCTCATTTTTCTTCCAGTCAGAAGCAATAATGTAGTGCCCCTCGCTCTTCAAACGCCTAGCAATATGCGAGGCAATGAATCCACCTGCTCCGGTGATGGAAATCCGGAGTTGCTCACCAGGCCAGTAGGGCTCCCTCTCAAGATTTGCATAGGTGTATTCGCCATATTGGGTCTCACCGGCACTTCCCATTTTGTCTAACAATCAAAGTTATTTTTCTTTTAGAATGCAATTAACAAATGCTAATACAACCCACAAAAGTATAGTAGTCTACACTAGAGTAGCAAATGCAGCACCACCCTTTGGTCCCTTTTCACATTCTCAAACAAGAAAACAAGCTACAGAAGTTGACAATGAAAGATAAGATGAAATTTCAGTCTTGAAAAAATAAAATCTCCAAAAAGGAAAATTGTAACCATCAAATCTGTCCCCATGAAGATAGTGGTCCAGGGAAAAGATCACCTTTTTTTTAGATAAGAAAACTCAATTATCAAAATTAGAGGACATTCACTTCTAAACACATCAAAAAGGCTAAAACCCCACTACTTAATCAATTCTATCTAGAATTCTAACATTCAAAGGAATTGGTCAAATCAAATGCAGGGTAAGCTTGAAGGATTCCCAATGTCTTCCACAATTTGAGGGAAACATCATCTAGTACGAATTGAATTGTGCAATAAAAACACACTCTTGAACACCAGAGTAATTGAAAACAGTATAACATCACAAATGACACATCAACACAAAAGAAACTAGTTTCTGGACTATGAAGAAACAGAGCATGTAACAGCTTAAATCATCCAAATTCAACGTAAAAAAGCAAACCCTTTTAAAAACAAAACCAAAACATTAACCAGTAAGAGACCTTCTATTACAGAGTTTCAAATTCTCAACAAAACCCAAAAAGCATGGAGTCAATTCATCAAGGAAAAACATATCTAAACGACCCATGAACAGAGGATATACTCAAACACGTTGAATTACCTGAAAGAAAGTTTTGGTTTTTGGAGCCAAAAGAGCACAAAGCCGACGTTAAAGATGGCAAATGGAGATTCTGGACCTGAAAAAAACGGTAGTTTTGATTCTGTTAACAAATCACTTTCTTTTGATGCCTTTTGGTTTCCCTCCTGCCTTCCACTTATATAAGTGCCTTCTGCCGGCCTATATAAGAGATAAGAAGGGCGTCTGAATTATTCCGGCGCGTTTGGTTGGTAACTCAAGTAGCTACGTAAAAATGAATTTTATTCCTACTCAAAATCCAATCCTACCAAACCCGTCTTAAGAAATATTTGTTTATTTTGACTACAATACAAGTAATTTTTTAAAAACAAATCATAGGTTTTTATTTTTGAAAAAAAAAGTAAGTTAAGTAACAGCACATTATTCAGCTTTTAAAGATATTTCAATTTATATCATTAAAAAACTAATATCACGTAATAGAAATTTCAAGCTTGAACAAGAATTTGCTTGTAACAGAAAATTAATATTTATGAAGATGATATATAATAGAAAAACTAATTCTTTCTTCCTTTCTGTTATTTTGTGATTATATTTTTGAAATTCATGGGCAGAGTAATGAATTAAAATTTATTTTTCATTTGATATTTGCTATTTCATTCATTCCATTTTAATAGACAATTTTTTTTTGAAATTAGACAATATAATAAAATAAAATATTAAAATGAAACAGAGAATTTTCATTATTCCATAGTCAAAATGAAGTTGCATCATCAATCGACTGACGGGATCTTAACAAACAGTTTTTTTAGTAACCAATAATTGTAGCTGATGTTTCCTTAAAAGAATGACATAATCAAGAGAAAATTCAAAAGTTCATTCCACTTTCAGAGGACTATATACATATTTCTTAGTGTGTTAATCTAGTGCTTAGAAGTATTGTACAATTTAGGATGATACAATTACACAAGCTATTGCTCAATTTTGTCTTCTTCTATCGGCCGCCATGCACTATTTGATAGATAAGGATTTTATCTTATCTTTTTTTTTTTTTTAATTTCATTGGTCTTGTTTTAACATGTTATTATATGTTATGTTAATATATTTATATTAGGGTTAGTTTAGGAGCATAGTTGTAATCTTGTTACTCCCATGTACACTATATATATTGTTGTATCAATACAGTATAACCCTAACGGATTATTCACTTTATAAAAATAATTCACATTATAGTATCTAAATTATGTTAAAAGCAATTCAATTCACAAGTTATAACGTTCACTAGTTCTTTTGAGATAGACAACATAATATTTTAAAATACAATAATTTTTATAGTACTTTGTAATAATATAGTAAGAATGTCACTATTGAATACAAACTAACTCTCAGGTAAAAATGTGGTGAAAGTGTGAAATTATATACTCATTTAGAGTTCAAAATATTCTATACCAAAAGATATTCTCTAGGACAAAAACCATAGTGCCAAAATGTAATAATGGTTCAATGAGGCCTCATGACCTACCTTCCTGCCATTTCAGTAATTGGTGACATTATTTGTACCTCAACTGAATAAGGATGGATAAAGCCATAAAGGAAGCTCAACATGTGAAGAAAAAGGGGTTGAAATGAAATAGTAAAGATGTTGAAAAGGATCATGTGGAGGGACCAAAGAGCCTAGCTAGACCTTCAAAATATGAAGATTGAAGACAAATATAAGGAACCTTCCCTTTCCTTCCCTAATTGTACAAAAAGGGATGGCCTTTCTTTTTTTGTTCCCTTCAATGTGGAGTTAGAAATATTGTGCATTGGTCATTCATGCATTTCAATACGTGTTGTTTAGTGCTAGAACAAAGGTTTTAGGGTCTTTGAGTCAGAGTGTGAGGATTATAACCACGTCATTGAACATTTAAATCTCAATAGAATAAAACGTTAAAGGGAGAAGAAAAAAAATTATAGAAAAATGTAGGTGTATTCATTGATAGATTTGCTAGAATAGTAAACAAGACCGTAATATTGCTATATCAAACCTAGGCTGCATTAAAAAGTTAATATTCGGTTTAAGAGATTAATAATAGATTTCTTGAAAGTTAGGATTCGAATCTTAAAAAAAAAAATTGTTGAATTTTTTTTCTAAATATTTATTAATGCCTACATAAATGAGTCATTATTATTATTTTTTCAATGAATAACTTTCGTTCGTGTTTTGCGTGAGTGAGCGGAGAGATTGTGTACGTCAGGACAAAAAATTAATACGTTATATTGTTTATATAGTCCTGTAATTTCTATCATATTCCATATAAATTTTCAATGTAGTATTGTAATATAGAATTATCGCAAAATATTTTGTCATCCAGGATTTTTTTTTCGGTTGTTAATTTTTTCTAAAACTTTTACAGTTTACTTGTCACGAACGAGTTCGGAAAATTCGTTTTCAGAGAGTAAAGAGAAGAAATTTGAAAGAGGCAAAATAAATTCATCATTTTTCATAATTCCCCCAAAATGGTGATTCCAGATCTATATAGTCGGAGTCGATTAAGAAAAACGATAACCACCTCCGTTCTAGAAAGATTCCGAAAAGATAAGCTGGAAATAAGAAAAGTCAAATAAATCTGAAAATAGAATTTTAGTTAAACTGGGACTTAAGCCCTACAATTGTCTGAAACACATTTAATGCCAACAAATCTTTGTCCTTCCACTCTGACCCTTGAACTTTTAGAATTTCCAATTCAATCCCTGATTTCATGACAACTCCCCCTGCGTAAGTTCGTCCTTGTCCTCAAGGATGGAAATGAGGAAACTGGTTGACGACAAAAACTTGATCCTCCCAGGAAGCGCCTCCCACTGGTAAATCATGCCACTTCATAAGCCATTGTACGACTTGTCTGCCACCTCTTTCAATAAAGTGACGCTGAAGAACCTTTTCAGGTTGTAGAATTGTCGCTTCTATCATATCCAAATCAGGTAAGGTAGTAAAAGCTGAAGGTTGGTTTCCATAGTACCTTTTTCAACAAAGAAATATGAAACACTGGATGAATCCTGGTTTGAGCTGGCAGTTTCAGCCTGTATGCCACAATTCCAATCTTCTCCAAAATCTGATAAGGACCGTAATAACTAGAAATGAATTTCAGACTAACGCGTTGAGCCATAGAAGCCTGCCTGTATGGTTGCAGCTTCAACAGAACCCACTCTCCAAGTGCAAAGTTTCTTTCAATCCTCTTCCAATCAGCATAGTACTTCATACGGTGCTGTGCTTTAGCCAAATGCTCCTTGAGCAATTTCAGGACAGAAGCTTTCTGTTGTACCATATCCTGAGCAGCAGGAACAATGCTATCAGTAAATGGCCATAGTGGAAATGACTGAGGTTTCTCACCGTATAAAGCCTCAAATGGTGTTATCTAAATGCTGATATAAAATGATGAATTGTACCACCATTTAGCCATAGGAAGGCACCTATTCCAAGTGGAAGGTTTAACGCAGCAGAAACTCCTTAAATATGATTTCGAGCACTGATTAAGCCTTTCATTTTGACCATCGGTTTGAGGATGATAAGCAGTGCTCATTTTCAGTTAAACCCCCAGCAGCTGGAACAAAGCTTGCCAAAAGTGACTAGTAAACACAGTATCCCGATCAGTAATAATATCATCAAGTAAGCCATGGAGACGAAGGACTTCACGAATAAAAATCTCAGCTACTTTTGAAGCAGTTATAGGAGCTGACAAGCTGATAAAGTGGCCAAACTTCATAAGTCGGTCAACGACCACCAGAATAGTATCAGCTTGATCAGAAGGTGGAAGGTTCACAATAAAGTCCATCGAGATACTACGCCACACGTGCTGAGGAATAGGATTAGGTTGTAGCAACCCTGGTGAAGCCACATGTTCACTCTTGTTCCGTTGGCAAACCTCACACCTGCGAATGTAGTCCTCAACAACTTGCTTCATTTTCGGCCAGAAAAACAAAACCCTAAGTCGCTGCCAGGTAACCATCTGCCCAGAATGGCCACCTAGAGTTGATGAATGAAAGGATTCAATGATAGAGTCTCGGAGGTTAGTAGCATTTCCCACATAAATCTTGCCTTCCTTCCTAAGGATACCATTCACCAGACTAAACTCGAATGAAGAATCAGGTTGCGTAAGTGCCAAAATTTGCTCCTCAACAAACTGATCATTAGCATAGCTTAGCATTTATGCTCCCTCCCTGCTGAGAATCTCCGTGCTCTTCTGATACCTCCAGTCTAGAAAGAGCATCAGCAACCACGTTCTCAATACCCTTTTTGTACTGGATTTCGTATCATAGCCTAGGAGCTTAGTAATCCACTTATGTTGAGCATTGTTGATAACTTTCTGCTCTAGCAAATACTTCAATGCATGGTGATCAGTACGAATGATGAAATGAACACCCAACAAATAGTGCCTCCACTTAGTAACTGCCAACACTAATGCCATCAACTCCTTCTCGTAAACTGATAAACCAGCATTCTTCTTACTAAAAGCTCGACTGATATAAGCAATGGGTTGCCCTTCTTACATCAACACGGCCCCCATGCCAATATCACCGGCATCTGTTTCGAAGATAAAAGTCTTCTGAAAATTGGGCATCCTCAAAACTGGAGCTATCACCATCGCCTGTTTAAGCTGCAAAAATACTTGATCAGCCGTCTCAGTCCACTTAAAAGCGTCCTTCCTCAAAAGATTGGTTAAAAGTTTACTGATGACACCGTAATCCCTAATAGTACCCTGTAAGACCAAGAAATCCTCTCAAAGCCTTGACTGAAACAGGTATAGGCCATTTCATGATGCAACTGATCTTATCTTCATCCATATTAACCCTTTTTTCAAAAATAGTGTGATCAAGGTAATTAATGGAGTTCTGGGCAAAACTGCATTTGCTCAGCTTAGCAAACAGCTGATGAGTCTGCAAGATCTTAAAAACTTCTTCTAGATGAATCACATGTTCTTCAAGAGTTGGACTGTAAACCATTATATCGTCGAAAAAAACCAAGACACTCTTCCTCAACTGTGACTAAAAAACCTGGTTCATTAAAGATTGGAAGGTAGCGGGAGCATTCGTCAAACCGAAAGGCATCACCAGAAATTCGAAATGGCTGTGGTGAGTTTGAAAAGAGGTCTTATGAATGTCTTGATTCCTGGCCCGTATCTGATGATAGCCCGTCCTTAGGTCAAGTTTTGAAAACCATTTTGCCTCTCCCAACTCATCCAACAGTTTATCAATGATTGGAACAGGAAACCTATCTTTGACTGTTAACTCGTTTAACCTCCGAAAATCAACACATAATCTCCAACTTCTGTCTTTCTTCCTCACCAAAATCACTGGAGAAGTGTATGGGCTATTACTGTACCTCACAATTCCTACATTCAGCATCTCATTAACCTGTTTCTCAATTTCCTCTTTATATGCATGTGGACAACGATATGGTGGAATCTTAAAGGGTTGTGATCCCAACTTAAGGGGAATATGGTGATCAACAGACCTTGGAGGAGGCAATCCCACCGGAATTGAGAAAATAGACTCATATTTCTTCAACAAATAACCAACCTCAGATGGCAATTCCCTTTCATCTGTTCTACTCTCCCTCAGTTCACCAGAATCAGTATCCCCTTGCATAGCAAACATGTGCATCAGACTCAGTTTCCTCCTTTGCTGTACTGTAAGTTCTTGGCACGACTTATCCCTCACCAACCCTATACTGGTTTCACTTCCTGAATGCAACAAAATATACCTCCTACCATGCTTGCTCAACTTAATACTGAGATCATCGAAGTCAAAAGTGATAGGGCTGAAATGCCCCATCCAATCGACTCCCAAAATCATGTTATACCCTCCCAGATTCATTATCTTCATATCATAACTGAATTTGAACTCCTGAATATTCCATCTCAAATTCGGACAAACAAGACTACCAGAAACCTTACTTCTATTGCCAACAGCTATGGTATTTAAGTTGATTTCTACTTAATGCAACTGTAACTCCATAACCAATTTTATATCAACGAAGCTGTCAGTACTACCAGTATCCATAAGGATTCTTATGATACAACCATTAATCCTTCCAATTATCAAAATAGTTTGTTCAACTGAATCCATACTAAGCACATGCATAGAACCCTCAAGAATAGTAAGATGAGTTAAATCAATGCCGCCATCAACAGGTAATTCAGGAACATTTAATTCAGCCACTACATCATCATCATCCGAAATCATAATACTGAATTGCCTCATTTTACAAGTATGGCCAGGGGTGTACCTTTCTCCACACTTGTACCATAGATTATTGCTGGTTCGGTATTGATACTCTTGAGGACTGAGGCGTTTGACAAAGTTTGGATTGAACTTCTTGGTCGACTTTCCCTGTTCCTCCTATTTGCCAGCACTTATTTAAACCCTAGCAAACTGACTGATTGCATTCTTGAGCTTTCCTCCATTGGCCTCCAGATTAAGCTCCTGCAAAACAACAGTTTAAAAAACAACAACTAGTATAGTTGGATTGAACATACGAACAGCTGGTTTCAATTTTGGCTTTAGTCCACTGATGAAGCTTGAGACAAAATAAGTTTCCGGCAACCGCAAATCTTGCAACAAAATCCGAGAATGCAACTCCTCAAAATGCTCCTGATATTCTCGAACCGTTCCTGATTGAACTAGCTTGTTGAATTCCTCACCACACTAGCTCCTCTTGTATCTCCAAACATTCGCAGTAATTCTTACCGGAAATCATTCCAAGAAATCTGTGGACGAGTGGCTTTCAGAGCTCTAAACCAAATTTCAGCTCGATCTTTCAAATACATCTCAATTGAGTCAACCTTAGCAGTCTCAGAAATGTGATAAACGGCGAAGAACTTCTCACACTTACTTAGCCACTCCAACGGATTCTTACCACAGAACACCGGCAGCTCCACATGTGGTTGTGCATACCAAGGCATTCTCAGATCTCGATCTCTCTCATTGTTCCACCTAGAATTTCCCACCGGAGCTGACAGATGTTGAGAAGTCTCCAGTGGAATGTCTCTGAAATGGATCGGATCTTCTAAATGCCTGCATACTTCGAGACAAATTAGCTGTCGTTTCCATCAATTCTTTCAGCTGCACGCTAATTTCCTTGCAAACAACTCTCAATTCAGAAATCTCCTCAGACGTCGGGGCCATACTGGAATCAGAACGACATGGATCTAGTTCAGAGTTGGTCTGAGAACGCGTAGTAATCGCCATTCCCTGCCGAGGAACGCTAGCTCTGACTATCAAGTTGTCACGAACGAGTTCGGTTCGTTTTCAGAGAGTAAAGAGAAGAAATTTGAAAGAGGCGAAACAAATTCATCATTTTTCATAATTCCCCCAAAATGGTGATTCCGGATCTATATAGTCGGAGTCGGTGAATAGAGACGATAACCACCTCCGTTTAGAAAGATTCCAAAAAGATACAGATGGAAATAAGAAAAGTCAAATAAATATGAAAATATAATTTTAGCTAAATTGGGACTTAAGCCCTACAATTGTCTGAAACACATTTAATGCCAGCAAATCTTTGTCCTTCCACTCTGACCCTTGAACTTTTAGAATTTCCAATTCACTCCCTGATTTCATGACACTCATATAAATGTAAGTAGGCCCATTATCGAAAACAAATTTTGAACTCAAGGAGCCCTCCTTCGGCCGAAAGGCAAGAAAATTAAAAACAGCCCAATTTGTAAAAGTTTAAACAGCAGTTGTTTATCCATCTGGCCCATCACACTCGAAAACCACCGCGAACGTAGTGATGCAGAAGAGAGACCAGGGAAAGAGCGGTGGAGGTTCCGGCGGCTCCGCCGGACCGGTGGCGAAGAGGGGCCGTCCTTTTGGCAGCGGAAGCGCCAATTCCGCGGCATCTGGCTCAGCTGATTCTGCAGCTCCCTATGCTCTCCTCGGCCCTTCCTTACAAGTTCCTTCCGCCTTCGCCGGTCAGTCTCTACTTATTCAAGTTACAATCATCAAAGTTTTGAGTAATTAAGCTTTAATTACTTCTTTTCATTCGATTTTATTGAACATTCCCGTGAAATTTTTAATTTTTGGTTATGAAGTTTGTCTGAAGTTAGGGTTTTAGGGTACTCATGTTCTGCTATTGTGAAATTAGGGTTTTTAGCAAAATGGAAATTTCAACTTCTGAGCTCCCATGCCAAGCTGCAATGTCTACTGAGTCTAAAATACTGATCACTAATTGTATATTTGCAAACGTTTTTATTTGTATGTATAAGAGAAACTAGAGTCGTTGCCAATGCCTTATGGATTTCTTTATCTTTGTTTGGATTCGGAGGTAATCAGAACAGAATAACAAGCGGATAGTTCTTGCTCTTCAGAGCGGATTAAAGAGTGAGCTGACATGGGCATTGAACACACTAACATTGCTGTCTTTCAAAGAAAAGGACGAAGTCCGTAAAGATGCTACTCCTCTGGCCAAGATTCCTGGTCTGCTTGATGCTTTACTGCAAGTTGTATGTATCATTTCGTTTATATGTATTGGTTTCGTTTTAGTAGGTTTGGCTGGATCAACTTGTTAAGTTGTTATTGTAAAAAATGAGTTCCTTTTCAACTTGCGCAGATAGATGATTGGCGCGATATATCCCTACCGAGGGTGCTGGTGAAAACACCAAGAGCTAGAATGCTTGGTGCAGATTCTGCTGTTACTGGTTTTGGGCATGAGTACGACGCCTTGACCAAGAATGATGCTGCTCCTGGGTAATTTTTCTCTCGTTCTTTGAAATTTGGTAGTCTTTGGATACATTACCATCTACTTGTCCCTTGAAATTAGTTTGCTTAATAATTGATTTGGTTATAGTACTGGAGCTACGGTGAGCAGTAAGGAGTCTTCCATGCAGAACAATACTGCCAAGGCAAGGCCATCTGACTGGTGGTTTGAGGATGATGGCTTGTTTAATATGGATGAGGAAGGGAGGGCTGAAAAGCAGCTCTGTGCTGTTGCTGCGTCAAATATAATCCGCAACTTCTCTTTCATGCCAGAGAATGAAATGATAATGGCCCTGCATCGTCATTGTTTGGAGACATTGTTTCAGTGTATGGAGGATTATGTAACAGGTGAGATAATCAGTTAGGGGGTACTTTCATGTTCTTCTCTTGTTTCCTATGGGCTCTGTGTGTAAAATTTGTTTTCGTTGTTCTGTTGTTTGTAAAAACACACTTTTCCGGTACGGGTTTTCCCAGTTCTTGTATTTGTCTTAAGTTTGTCATTTTTACAGAGGACGAGGAGCTTGTAACAAACACTCTGGAGACAGTTGTAAATTTGGCTCATCTACTGGATCTTCGGATATTTAGCTCATCGAAAACATCTTTTATCAAAATAACGTAAGATGATGACTTGTTATTTTGACGAAGCCACTTCCTCTAGCATGCGACATATCTTATTTATTGGTCTGAACTTTCCAGGGAAAAACGGGCTGTCCAGGCGATCATGGCAGTGCTGGGATCTGCTGTTAAAGCCTGGCATTGTGCTGCTGCAGAATTACTTGGACGCTTGATCATAAATCCTGATAATGAGCCTTTTATTCTTCCTTTTGCCCCACAGGTTGCAATAACTATTACAGATCTAATTAGTCTAGTTTTGTACTTGTTGATGATCAATTATAACTTCTACAGATTTACAAGAGACTGGTGGATATAATGACCCAGCCGGATCCTAATGCCCAAGCAGCTGCGGTGGGTGCACTGTACAATTTTGCCGAAGTCAATATGGACTGCAGGTTGAAGCTGGGAAGTGAGCGATGGTTAGTCGGATTCTCTGAATACGCTTCAAGTTTTATGCATCCTTTGTATGGAAAAAGGAAATTGTATCATGTTATAACGTTTAGTTTAATAAATCAGGGCAATTGACCGGCTACTGAAAGTGATTAAAGCGCCACATCCTGTGCCAGAAGTTTGTCGAAAAGCTGCAATGATTTTGGAAAACCTCGTGTCAGAGCCACAAAACAAGCCTTTGCTGCTGGCGTATGAAAATGCATTCGCTGAGATGCTTTTCTCAGATGGACGGTACTCTGATACATTTGCCCGGATTTTGTATGAATTGACTTCCCGACCAAACAAGATGGCAGCAACTCGTTGTATTTGGGGAATGTAACTTGAATTCTTCCTTTTTTGGAGCGTGAATTTTATGAGATTTTCTTCAGGAATTGTGACCCAAGACGCGAGCCAAGTTAGTTGGCCACACTCGAGCTAACTTATTTCTGTCAATAACCATCTGCAGGTTAGGATTTACTCGTCGAACTGCTTATTCATACTACAGTATGTTGTAGGCTATCTATTCTGGTTTGTACTAATGGAGAAGTTTAGCATGTTTTTAGATTTGATGTTGAATGTAGTCCGCGCAACTCATGTCCTGGCTTTTACACTATGTGGGTTTGCTTAGTTGCGGTTTAATTCCGTCGAAATCTCATTTATTACCTGTTTGCGCCTTTGCGGCTGTTAATCTGCTGATTATTAGATAAGAACATTTGTTTGCTTCAAATCTTCTTCTTCTTCAAATCATGAGATAAGATAGCTTTTATCTTAGTGTACAGTTGGCTTGAAAACATGAACTCATTCAGCTGTTATTTTCTTACACGATGGTGGGTTGGCGGCGGGAGGTACTAAGTCAATAGGAAGGAAAAGGGGTAATTTACAATGGCCAACTGGCCATATGGCCTTGAATTTCAGTTTCCGACCTCAGATCCAGCTAGAACCCAATAATATAATCTACTATATATGTTTTCTGGGTTTTCACGGGGACATAAAAGAGGACCAATGGACTTCAAAAAAGATGTTATCCAGAAAGATTGCGGAACCATTCCTTACATTTAGTAAAAAGCCATTTCCAAAAACCAGAGTAAGACCTTAGTTTTAATCCGTACGGCATCTCAAAAATCTAGTCTTTTCGAGTTGGTTCCGTCACAGTTTGTTTGTTTGTTTGTTTGTTTTTTTTCCCGTAGTTTATCTCGATCTGCTTGCAAACCACACATTCTGAGCTAACACAATGAATCGGAAATCTTAGTTAGATCAAACGGCTAGGAGAATTCGATTCTCGAAAATGAGAAACCAATGTTTGGAGAGTCTTGTCGTTACAGTATGAAAAGGAAATTAATCTGAGTAAAATCATACAAACTTGATTTTACCACCCAAAAAAAAAAAAACAGTGCTACACGTAATTGTAACAGAAGTTCATTCATGAAGAATGGGCTGAAATTAATTACCGAATGCTTGTTATGATGCCAAAAATATAGTACGTCCTCATTTTTCCTCAAAACTCCATCATGGTCAATGTACGAAAGATGGTACCATTTACAAATGGATGCATCAATCAGTATGTGACAGCTGAGGAATGGATTCACTGAGAGTCTGAAAACCAAGTAGTACATGAGAGTTTTTACATTAAATGGCTGCTTGTTCTTCCATAAAAACCAAGTAGTACATGAGAGTTTTTAATGAACTTGTAACTTGTCTCCCCTGTTACTTTTGGTGATATGTTTGGTCATGATTTGTTCATAATCACAGTTCATATTGTAGAACTGTTGATCTCATCATGGTTAAATGCCTCCAAATGTCTTGATGTATCAGAAAAGATAATGTGACTTAATCTGAATTTAAGGTGTTTAATCCGAAGAGGTTTATTGTGAAGCAGGTCAAATTGACTGAATCACGTAAAAATGAAGGCGTTATTTATTTATTTATTTTTTTCCTTTGTTTTTTAACCTCTATCTTCCTAATGGATGCTTGAAAAAGTTGAAAACTACTGTAGCTTAGGATTGTCGAGTGAATCTTCGGATTTTTAGCTCATTAAAGTCTAGCTGCACATTAAAGGTAATCTGTTTTATAGACTTGTCAATTGTCATTCAACATTGCAACCCATTTTTTCCTTAACATTTTAAGATCTTCATTTATTAGTACTACAACTTGTTTTAGAGAAAATTAAGGTTACAACATGGCAAAGTTGATGAGTAACTGAATACCAAGTGGTGAACTAATCAGATTATTTCCAATTCTAATCTAATTCATTCTGAGTTCAGCTTTTTGTTTTGTTTTTTTTTTTTTCTGCAATATGATTAGTCAGGTTTCCTCTTCTCTTTGTACTTTTGAACAGTAATATTGCAGACTTTCTCTTCTGAATCGTCCAAGTTGAGAGGCTATAGCTTTCAATGCAGAGGTTGATAATAATAACTGCCAAAGACTCAAACAGAGGGAAACTTCTCTTCAATGTTTGCATTAAATTATCATCCAACGAACACCAACTCATACTCACTTGTAGAACCCCTTTAAATCCCTGATCAATCCTGGAAACTTTTCGTGAAATATCCTGTATACCTTCTGCAAGGAAGTTCAATCCCTTTTTTTTTTTTTTCACTTCTTTGCAGTTCTTCGCCATTGTGTCTTCTTTCTGCTTTTCTGCCTTTCAGCCCTTTATTGAGCTTTGCAAAATGGTGGATGGTAGAATGAGGAATATGGATTCCTCTGAAACTCATGTACAAGTTTCAGATAATAATAATGGGAAGACTAATGGTCTTCCTAACTTCTTGCTATCTGTTAGACTCAAGTATGTGAAGCTTGGTTACCATTACTTGATCTCCAATTCAATGTACTTGTTGTTAATTCCTCTGTTAGGGGTTGTTTCGGTTCATCTTTCGACGATTGCAGTCGAAGATGTGGTCCTGTTGTGGGATCAGTTGAGATTCAATCTTGTTTCAGTGATCCTGTGTTCTTCACTTATGGTGGTACTAGGTACTATTTATTTCATGACTAGACCTAGGAAAGTTTACTTAGTTGATTTTGCTTGTTACAAACCCGGAGATGAGCTCTTGGCATCCAGCGAATTCTTCATGGCGAAAACCACACAGTATGGTTCTTTCACTGAAGAAAACTTGGGGTTCATGAAGAGGATTTTGGAGAGATCAGGGCTGGGACAGCGGACTTACTTCCCTCACACATTCTTCGAGAACCCGCCAAACCCGAAAATGGCTGATGCCAGAAAAGAAGCTGAGGTGGTCATGTTCGGCGCAATCGATCAGTTGTTTGCGAAAACCGGTGTTAAGGCCAAGGAAATTGGGATCCTTGTGGTGAATTGCAGCTTGTTTTGCCCAACTCCATCTCTTTCTGCTATGGTCATTAATCATTACAAGCTTAGAGGTAACATTTTGAGCTACAATCTTGGTGGTATGGGATGCAGCGCTGGAGTTATCTCAATTGATCTTGCAAGACAACTTCTTCAGGTAATAAAATGTCCTGAATTGTAATGTGAAACCTAGTCCAAATCACTATGAATTTGTCAACATTTATAAGTATGACAATAATAACGATTTCCGTCGCGTTTATATTATACTATTTTAGTTTTACTAACATTACTAGTATGATGATGCAGATGCAGCCAGGATCATATGCTCTTGTAGTGAGCATGGAAAATCTGAGCTTGAGTGGATACTCTGGCAATAACCGGCCAATGTTGGTCACGAATTGCATTTTTCGCCTTGGAGGGGCGGCGATTTTGCTATCGAACAAGTCGTGTTACCGGCGCAGCGCCAAGTATCAGCTCATTCACACCGTGAGAATCCACAAAGGCGCGGATGACAAGAGTTACAACTGTGTTTACCAACAGGAAGACGAGAAAGGTAACAAAGGCGTCGCCTTGTCGAAAGATCTCATGGCGGTAGCTGGCGAGGCGTTGAAGACGAACATAACGGCCCTCGGCCCGTTAGTCCTTCCAATGTCGGAACAGATCCTGTTTTTGGTCACCTTGATCGCGCGGAAGCTTTTCAACAAGAAGATCAAGCCTTATATCCCCGATTTCAAGCTCGCGTTCGAGCATTTTTGCATCCATGCTGGAGGAAGAGCTGTGTTGGATGAACTGGAAAAGAACCTTGACTTGAGTGAGTGGCATATGGAGCCATCAAGAATGACACTTTATAGATTTGGAAACACTTCTAGCAGTTCATTGTGGTATGAACTGGCTTACATTGAAGCTAAAGGAAGGGTTAAGAAAGGTGATAGAACATGGCAGATCGCATTCGGGTCGGGTTTCAAATGTAACAGTGCGGTTTGGAAGGCATTGAGGACTATTGATCCAGCTAAAGAGAAGAATCCGTGGAGTGATGAAATTGATGAATTCCCAGTTGAAGTTCCTCGTGTGGCACCCATAATCATTAACTCTTGAAAAAGGGGACGAAAAAGAAGACAAAAAAAAGTGAAGCAAGAAAGGATTTCAAATCACAATTTAATTTCTTGGATCTTTCTATTGGGTGAGTTTTTTAAATTTGCGTAACTTTTTTTCAGGCTGTTACTATTGATTCGAGTGATTTAAGTGTATCAAATAACGAAATTAATTACCATTCTCGCTCTTTGTCAATCAATCGTCGCTGGATGTTTTCAGCCATTTTAATATATTTATCATTTTTTTTAAAAATATTTATCATTTATTCTAAAGAAAATAAAGATATTAATAGTCAGTCAATATACATGAACATCTCTTCACATATTGTAGTATTTCTCTTGATCTTGAATCAATATTTGGTTGTTATTCCTCTGATAACCATTAATGCTCACTCTATTTCAGAATAAGAATTAATTTATTAAATTGTTTTAATATTAAGAAACACGATTCTTAGTTTAAAATGGATAGAAAATAATGTTTTCTTCGTATTTATTGGTGAAAAGTAATGACGCATTTTTTGGTTGATTAGCACCACAAACCCATATCAAAATGCTAACAAGGAAACTAACCTTTATTGAAATTACAAAAACATATAAGTTTTTCTTTTTTTTTTTCAAAAAGAAAAGAAAAAATTGATATTGTTTTATTAATGAAATTCTTTTGATATATTAAAATAGCATAAAATAAAAGAATTCCCACCATTATTATTGTTTTATTACATTAATGGATTGATAGTACGCGTATATCAAATTGTGCATCTTGAATATGACATGCTTACAAACGATAATTATCTTATGATCGTAGAGGGAATGTTTCCCTAATTATCCAAACCAAGAAAAACCAAAAAAAAAAAAAAAAATTCATTGCCCAAAAACCCAATTGGGAGAAATGTTTGATGATATTAATTACAGAAGTAGTCGATCTTACCCGTGAATGGGCTAACCAAATTTCAGCTACCTTTGAAATGAATGCCTAAATAGTTAAATGTACTTACAAGATTTCAATACATCAACGTTAAGTCATCAAGATGAAAACGTGAGTTCATTTAAGCTGCACCTTCGTGAGGGGCATGGAACACCAAACTTTTACCAAACCCCATATATACTCAAGTAATTGAATGTTCATATATATACATATATATATATATATATATATATATATATATGTGTGTGTGTGTGTGTGTGTGTGTGTTTTTACCAACTTACACTCAAGAATTCAATGTTTTGCTTGCACATCAGTGTGTTGTCTGATGATTGCACTTTACATGTTTGCGAAGTTAATTCTTTTCCCTTTTGGACAATGTGTATGTTTACAAGAATGCAATTTATTTGTATCACTTCAAATGAGCTTATGTACTAGCTCCCTCTTTTCCACAAAAATTTGTTTGATATAAACAGAACTATCTTAATAATACAAGCAGAAAGTATTTCATACTCAAATGATATATTTCGTAACAGCATTTATCTTGTATATTGTGTATCGGCCCATTTGGTGTTTAATGGAATATGTATCTACTATATTAATAAAGCAAGAGGCTTGCGCTAAACTTGTCTACTTTATAAATATTGAATAAAGATAATTAATCTGTGAATACAAATAATGATTACCTAAAATACTTAACATTCAATAATTAAGATGTTGGGTTCCCTATTTGGTTATCCCACAAAAAAAAAACAAGGAAGAAGAAAATATACTTACTGTATATAGAAAATAGTGGAATATTAATGAACCGTTTGATTGAGGTGGTAAGAAAAATAAAAAAATATATTTTACACGGAGTATAATATAAAGCATTATTATAAAAAAAAAATTAGTTTTATTTTTCTTCATAGAACACGTCATGAAAAACCAATGCATAATTGATTAAGATGGTAAGTATGGACTATCATTCTAAGGAGATCATAAAAGTTATGGTTGAATAACTCGATAAAAAAAAGCATAGTATAACTTTGATTTATGTTAGAATTATTATTCCATCCGTTCCATAATTATTGTCCAGTTTGGCTTTTCATTTCTAGTTCAAATTGTACTAAAAGTGAAATCTCAAATTAGACAATAATTTTGGGAACAATAACGATGTTGGGCTAATTTACGATTGGGTTGACCACTTCGGTCCACCGATAATAAACAAGTCTTGGCCCAACATGACTTACGGCTTGGACTTCAGGAATGGCCGGTTTCATGAACTTCTGTAATGGAGGGGATTATAAATTTATAATTCAAAATTAAATTAGGATTTAGAAGGGGAGAAAATTTGGAATAGAAGAGATTCCATAAAATTTCATCTGATGATATTTCCCATACAGAAACGATGAACTTAAGCTGATTCAATCAGCTGAAAATATAGTAATTACAACTTGATCCCTCTATTTTGCATAAAAATGAAAATCACCCTAAAAGCATGACATTAAATCGGCAATGTTGTAAACTTCTGCGAATAAGGAAAAGCGCCAAAACTTATAAGATGTTGGATACAACACCGACTTTTGGTGATATAGCTTCTTATAGTTTTCCGATTTCTTACACTTATTACCTTGCCGAACTTTGTCTTCTGTGAATCGCACACGATTGTTTAAGATGTTACGGTGAATCGGTTTTTACTATTTTTTACTCGAATAAATAAATATCGTCGTTATCTGTTCCATTAGTCGATTGAGTCATTATTCGATTTTTCATCATTTTCTTTGTTCTTCAACTTCTTAAAATTTTCAAGTTCCTAATAGTAGTAGAGCATTTCCTTTGGACATTATCATTCTTTTGTTTCTAGGTCGAAATGTTCCACATGAACGACCTCTTCCGAATAACTAAACAGGTTCTCTTTTATGCTTCCTCTTCGTCTATTTTCATGCGATTGGTTTTTTGACTTAAACAAATGTTTCATTTCTAGTTTTGTTTCAGGCTTGAATGCTTGAGTGAATAAAAGCTTTATTGAATGTATTAATTAGCGAGTGATTTTGTGAAAGTAATAAGCCATCTCGACCTGGTAAAAAAAGGGTAAAACAGAAAAAGAAAAGCCAAAGAATAAACTTGTTTTGATAAGTGAATTGATTTGTATCTATCTACCCCAATACGACTTGTTAAGCAAAATTGCATTGCTTAGTCACCAATCAACTTCCAACACTAAACGAAAGAACCCCATCAAATGATGAACCAAAGTTGACCACATGTGTGTGTGTGTGTGTGTGTCTATATATATATATATATATATATATATATATATATATATATTCGGGTTTCAATTGAATGGAAATATCATGTGCATTGTCCATCCTACAAATGACCTTTCCTTTTCTAAAATTTAAGGTGTCCTTTCGGTTTGATATTTTGAATTATGATACTCCTTTGAACAAATATAATAATAATAATTATTATTATTTACATACCTAACATTTGAAATCATTATTTTAAGTAATCTGAATTCGAGCTGTACGTGCTATGGAGACAAAACCACTCTCCTTCGACGGACGACATACCGAAACACTATTTTCGTTTTCTGCTTAGATCAAAAGTTAAATGATTTTAAAGTTAATCCTTCATCGACACTCTTATACTAGCAACCAAGTATCAAGCATTCAATTGGATATTGTGTCATGTGACCAACATCTAAAATGGTACCATAACTATAATGTTGTATATCGTCTTTTGTGAACTACAATTTTGTTCTCTTTTCAAATGAATTACTACTAATTTTCGTTGAAAAAAAATTCATATATTGCAATCCAATAAAATAATTTAATTAATTTTTTTTTAGTTGGGATAGAAAAAGTAAAACTACGAAAAAAAAAAAGGAATCTAATCACCTGGCGTGCTTGACTGAGTATCATGAAGTTAAGGCGTAAGGTGGTGCAAATACAAGTTGTGTGATGGGAAAAAAAAAAAAACACAACTGATTACAAGTTTACAATAAACTAATGAAGGCTAAAGCACCCCTTCTGATTACAGTAATGTAAGTTGTCCTCCAACGAAAAACATATCATTGCAACTACATGCAATCGACCTACCCTTTATATACATGTCCTTGATCCCGTGTTGAGATTGACATTGTACCATAATTAGTTTCTCATTTATATACATCTTTTGTTCCACCAAAAAATAAAATAAAATCTTGTTTTGCAATTTTTACATAATATCAAATTCCGACATTTGATAATACATACATAGTTTATGTTAAAATATAAGGGATATTACGAAATGAGCAGTCAATATTATCGATGATGGGCACCTAGCAAATAAAAAACGTAAGAGATTATAGCTGAGAAAATGTACATTCTAACTTTTTTATATTTGACCTTACCTTAATGAAAAATACTTATGGTAATGAGTCTTATAATTTGAGTATTGTTTTTATCTGGTTATGAGATTTTATGGTGTATACTGTACTGAGGAAAAAAGAAACCAAGCAGGATCATCATTCCATGTGGGATTCAAAGATCCAATATAAATTGTTCTTGCCATCTTTCCTTTTGTGTATATATGCTTACCAATAATCTACACTAGCTCCATTTTCAAAAAAAAAAAAAAAATAAAAATCTACACTAGCATTTTACAGTATTTGATTCTACATTTTCCTTTGCCAATGAATGAGGCTCACACCAAAACAAAAAAAAAAAAATGAAAAAAAAGAATGAGGCTCATACAATGAAATCCACATCAGAAACAACAAAATTTCGATTTGATGATCTGGTTCTGTTATTCATTTTTCGACGTTTTTGATCGACTAATTGATCCTACTTTGGAATGATTTCAGGTTTGGCTTTGTCGCTGTACTTTCTTGTTCTGCTCTTAGGGCATCTCCAACCCAACATCTCTCTAAACTCTATATTTAAAGTGGCTACACTGAAATCCTACTACTTTTACAGTTTGAACAGTGTCAGTATCTCCAACCCATTCCCTTTATAATTCTCTCTAAACAAATATTTTTCTATATTCTTTTATTAATAATTTTATTTTATTATTAATAGTGTTTGTAATATG